TGGCACAGACTGATGAATGCACAGGGGAGGAGGGAAGATGGAGTAGTCAGAATTAGTTCTGAGGTTGAGCATGGATCTTTATAGAGTTGGAAAAGATCTGAGCACTGGCCTGTACCTTAAGAATAAAGCAAAAAAAGCAAGGTGCAAAAAAGAAAGGAAGGTAGACAAAGTCTTGTTTTTAAGTAGCATCAAATGCTGAATGCCCATTATGTGACAGATACTATTCATTTCTGCAGGATAAATAAAATCCCTGACCTGACAGAGCTGACATTCTTAAGAAAAGTCTTGGACATTCTTGTTCAGAAACTAAGGGATTAAACTGTGTAAAATAAAACTTTGGTGGAAAGTTTTACTTGAAAAATAAAGTCCCCTTTTATAGGTATTTAAATGTGTTTTGTTTTGTTTTAGAAAATGGCTCCAAAGGTTAAATGAAGCTGGAAAAATACATAGATGCAGCATTGAAGCCTCTCCAGATGTTTGGGGCTAGTATTCAAGAGAGAAAATTGATCCCTGTGGATTAAGTAACTAGTCATAATGAAGAAAATTAGTCTTAAAACCTTCCGGAAGTCTTTTAACTTGAGTAAAAGTAAAGACGAAACTGATTTCATGGTAGTACAACAACCATCAATAGCCAGTGACTTTGGAAAAGATGATGCTTTGTTTGGTAACTGCTATGGTAAAGATATGGCCAATTGTGATATCAACAGTGAAGATGAAAAAGGTGGAAAAAATAGATCAAAAAGTGAGAGCCTGATGGGTACCTTAAAAAGGAGACTTTCTTCTAAACAGAAGCCAAAGGGCAAGGGCAGCACACCGTCAGGAAGCTGTGCGGACGAGGACACCTTTTCCTCCTCCTCAGCCCCCATCGTCTTCAAAGATGTCAGAGCGCAAAGGCCAATCAGGTCCACTTCCCTCCGCAGTCATCACTACAGCCCCACACCCTGGCCTCTCCGGCCCACAAACTCCGAGGAGACATGCATCAAGATGGAGGTGAGAGTCAAAGCATTGGTTCACTCTTCCAGCCCAAGCCCTGCATTGAATGGTGTTCGAAAGGAATTTCATGACCTTCAGTCTGAAACTGTGTGCCAAGAGCAAAATAATTCTCTTAAGAGTTCTGATTCTCCCAGTGGAGATTTGCATCTCCATCTGGATGAACATGTGTCTGTAGTTATTGGACTTATGCCTCAGGACTACATTCAGTATACTGTGCCTTTAGACGAGGGGATGTATCCTTTGGAAGGATCACGTAGCTATTGTCTGGACAGTTCTTCGCCCATGGAGGTCTCTGCAGTTCCTCAAGTGGCAGGTAGCTCTTTTGCTTAAGATGAGAATCAGGTAGACCAGGACCTAGTTGTTGCCCCAGAGATCTTTGTGGATCAATCTGTGAATGGTTTGTTGATTGGCACCACGGGAGTCATGTTGCAGAGCCCCAGAGCAAATCATGATGAAGTCCCTCCACTTTCACCTTTGCTACCTCCAATGCAGAATAATCAAATCCAAAGGAACTTCAGTGGACTCACTGGCACAGATGCCCATGTGGCTGAAAGTATGCGTTGTCATTTGAATTTTGATCCTAACTCTGCTCCTGGGGTTGCAAGAGTTTATGACTCAGTACAAAGTAGTGGTCCCATGGTTGTGACAAGCCTTACAGAGGAGCTAAAGAAACTTGCAAAACAAGGATGGTACTGGGGACCAATCACACGCTGGGAGGCAGAAGGGAAACTAGCAAACGTGCCAGATGGTTCTTTTCTTGTTCGGGATAGTTCTGATGATCGTTATCTTTTAAGCTTGAGCTTTCGTTCCCATGGTAAAACACTTCACACTAGAATTGAGCACTCAAATGGTAGGTTTAGCTTTTATGAACAACCAGATGTGGAAGGACATACATCTATAGTTGATCTAATTGAGCATTCAATCAGGGACTCTGAAAATGGAGCTTTTTGTTATTCGAGGTCTCGGTTGCCTGGATCTGCAACTTACCCTGTCAGACTGACCAATCCCGTGTCACGATTCATGCAGGTGCGTTCTTTGCAGTACCTGTGTCGTTTTGTTATACGTCAGTATACCAGAATAGACCTAATTCAGAAACTGCCTTTGCCAAACAAAATGAAGGATTATTTACAGGAGAAGCACTACTGAAAGATTGAGAACCCTGCATCGTGCACTTTGGGAAAAAGAAAAAGAGATTGAAATACAGTTTACAAACTTTCATTGCCATTAGAATACTTTTGCTGCCATAACTATTTTAGTTTTCTCTGTAATAGTCACCAATTTGTTTAGGGGTGGGGAAGTGTCTGCAAAGTGTCTTTGATTTATTGATTCTTTCAAAGGGTTGTCTTGCTGTTCTAGAAGTGTGAATTATCTTTCATTAATGTGCAGAATAATCACAATGTGAATTATCAGATTCTTATTGCCACCCCCAGTCCTTTGCTGCTATCCACTGTGATTTTTATGCATTAAAAGCACATTTCATGTGTATTCAGCCCTAAATGAAGTTGAATGAAGCTTATAGAATAGAATGAAAATTGCTTTGATTTTTAAATGACCCATTTTGAGAAGGTAGTATTGAATAAAAGTGTGTAATAAAACAATTTACATATACACTGAAAAAAAAATTATAATTTAGACTTACTCAAAATGAACACATTTGCACAAAGACACCATGAAAACTCAATATAGAAATTTTAAAAATGAGCTGGCCTCATGCCTTCCAGTTTCTAAAGCTAGCAGTGTTGCTGGGCATGCGTACTCAGGGTATGGAAAAGTACAGACTGCTCTACTGAGCTCATGAAGAGGATGGGGTTTGTGATGCTCTGCCTCTCTAACCAATGGACACCGAAGATCAAGAAGAAATATTTAATATTTTAATGGGCTAAAACAACAAAAAATATTATTTTTATGAAAAAAATGATGTGGTTCATGAAATCTTACTTTGATCATCTACTTATCTCCAGGAACTAATTCACAGCTTTAGAAATGTGAGTGAAAAATCATATCCCCCTTCTTGCCAGATTCTCTTTCATTGGAACAACTATTTTTGATCATAGTACCTTCCCCAAAAGTCTAATCTTGGGGGTCATGAGGCCTCTATGACAATTAGGCCTAAAACCCTGGCCATTCTATTGACAAGGCCAGCTCAGCACAAATGGAGTTCCAAGAAACTAAAAATTAAATTACACATCCTGATAACAGCAGTATATACTTTCCTCAGAAAAGATATACTTGAGAGCTGACCCAATCTAAGCTCTATAAGACAGGGAGAAGCCTCTCATGACCTCCTAGCTATCTGGAGGGAGAACCAAGTGCTTGAGCAAACCATCCCTTGCATTGAAAACAAAGTGCCCTGGTGGGAGTTAAAGCTTAAAGCTTACCGGGTCTCTCACTGTTTCTCTTGATGGAAGTGGTCCCCTTAAAAAATGAATACATTTCACCAGCACTGTCCAATAGGGGAACAGCCACTATACATTGCCAGTTAGTAATGAAACGTGACTAGTGTTATTGAGGAGATACAATTTTAATTTTATAGTTTAAAGTACAAACAGATAAACCTTAATGGACAGCACAGGTAGAGAACTTTAGAAACTAAACCTCTGGGGCAGGAAGTTCAAATTGCAGGTTCTTCTTCAAAATAAATTGAAAGTTTTCCAAGTTAGTTTTATAAAATAGCAGAGTCTTACCCTTGGAATGGAAGAACAAAATTCCTATATGATCAATATCACACAAATCATATTCACATCAGAAATCACAATCAAGCCTCAATCTCACAAAACCAAAAATACACATGAGATCAATATCGTTATTCAAATAAAATGTGCAAGCTATGCGAAACTTGCAAAAAAGGAACAAGACTTCAACTAGTCATGGAGAAAACACATGTGCATTTCCAAGGGACCCAAATAGGACAGACATCACGATGCCTGTGTGGGGTTTTACCCTGACCTGGCTCTTCAACACTCAGAAAACTGTGTGCGATCCAGAAACAGTGAAGAATGGGACTCATTTCATGTGGGGTGGGAACTAAGATAGTGATGCGGTTAGGGACACTCCCTGTCGCTGGCACTAACCTTGCCCCTTCACTGCCCCTTATCTCAGGATTGGGCAGCCTCTGACTCCTCTCTCAAAGCCTCCTCATAGAGACGTGTGTAGGACTTGGGATCTCTCTTATTAACCTTGGCTAAATGCTCTAGGACTTTCATCTTGCTGGTCTCAGCCTTGGCCCTTGGACCCCACAGAAACTCATAGCAAGCAGGATCACTATTGGGCACCTGGCGATATTCTAGATATCCTTCTTGTACTAAATCCTCTGTGATGAATTTCCAGGGCTCCTCAATAACAAAGTGATCCTTCTGAGGTAACATTTCCCTTGTTCTCAGGAATTCCCTTATGTCCTCCTCACTGGCACAGTTACCTTTTAAGAAAATGATAGTAAGGGTGACTATCAGGAGGTCTATTTTGGAAATGCTCTTGTAATCATCACTGAGTATCCTATTATATGTGAGGCCCAAGATAGGCAAAAGGACATATGTGTGGCCAGAGGAATCTATTTCCCTTACATCAATGCCAAAGCCCAGACACATGCACTCACAGACTGCCTTGAACATCAGAGGGAAGTGCTCATGGTAATCATGGTCCACAATTTGCAGCATCTCTGCCCTGGTAATTAGTTCCTTCTTTTGATACTTGAGGAGCAGGATTGGCAACAATTTAGCTACCTTGTCATCTAGGAACACATGGCACAAGAACTGAAGGACTAGTGACTGCTGAGAGGTGTATAGATCTTCTTCTTGCCTGCTGGAACACTCACTAGATTGCCTCCTTTGCCTGGAGGCCATGGCAATGGTGGACAGAAGATGCCCTGAGGATTCTGAGGACCACTTGGTATCCCAGCCAGAGACACTACTTTTGCTGTAGCAGGGATTTGAGTACTGGAGAATGAGGAGCCAGTGGAAGCAGTGGCTGCTACTTCCTGTCTCGTAGGCTTTAAAACCTGCACACCTGCCAGGCCCTGTGGCCTCCTCCTAGCTTGCTGGGATGTTTCCTCTGAACATGAAGATGTTTCAAGGTTCCTTGGGGTCACCAAGAGCTTGGTGATAATGGTGCAGATGCCTGAAGAAGAGAGGAAGACTATGAGTGTTCTTACATGACAATAGCACTCTTTTTAGCTCAAAGGTCCATTATAGGTCTTCTCTTTGGGTGGTGTTCACAGGCTCCTGTCCTCCAAAAGGAATTGTCCCTAGGAACCTGGGACAGGAAGTGAGACTGATCCTCAGGCTGCAGCTGAAGCACATAGGACAGGCTCTTGGACTGACAGTAAGGCTTGTGGGGCCTGGGCACAAGGATACCCAGGAACACAATTAGGGCATGTACCTCACCTTGACTCCTGGGGCTTCTGTGCTCTGTGATCTGGTGGCGCTGTCTCAGACCAAGACCTTCATCTCCTGGTTCCCGGAGCTCCTGTAAGAGGCATGAAGGGCCCCTCAGGCTGCAGAAGTGAAGGATAGTATTGGTCCTCCAGCGCTCATGTGATAGGGTGGGCTGCATTCTTTTTGTCCCCACTATTTGGAGTGAATGGCCCCCTCTCTGCTAACTCAGGACCCTCGACTCTCCTTGAGCAGGCCTTCTGTTGGCCTGAGCCAAACTCTCAGAAAAAAATGTCTCCCTCCATGATACATAACAGGAAGCAGCAAGAGGGATACACATCTGAACACAGCTGCTTGAGGGCAACATCTGGAGGGAGACAATTCATTTGGGTCCATGTGCCCTAGGAAAGGGAACCTGCTCTATCCTTATTTTAATAAATGGGAAGGTCTGGGACTCTCTCTTTGGGATGACCTGGGCCCATCTTTTTAAAATCACAACCCTCTCTCTAAGACACTCAGAACACTCAAAGAGGAAGTGAGGGGAAGCCAGTCCACCTGTGTTCCCCGGGTTTGATGAAAAAGGACAGGTTGAGGCTAGGCTATGGTGTGTTTCCTTGACAGGGTTCCCTCTGCCTCACCCAGCCCCTTGATAGCCCTGGATTCATACTTTTGCTGTCTGGATTTCTGCTTTGTATCCAGCTTTCATTTCACTGACAGAAATGATGCAGAACTAAGACAGCTGACTCAGTCTGACAGCACTGCCCAGGCTTCCCTGCATGACAGAGGACTCGGGGAACATATCTGGGGAGCAGCCCCCATCTGTGTTCTGGGCAGGTTATCCTCAGTCTTCCATTAGGGTAGTCACTTTGACTCTTGGAAGGTATGGGAAATGTGTGCCTCCTGACCAGGTGCTGTTCCCTGTGCCAACCTGAAGACAATCCCTCAGATCAAGTCGATCACCTCTTTGAGATCTCCAGGCTTCCCCAAAAAAAAGTGAGCAGGCACCCATCCTGTCAGGCCTACATGGGAACATCAGTGCCGACTACGATACCTGTGCTGCTCTCTCCTATAATGCAGGACCCTGCTATGGCCTAAGCCTAGATGTTCCCCCAAAACTCCCATGGGATCATAGGCAGGAAAATTTGGAAGATGGTTGAATTATGGGCGCTTATATCTAACTGTTAGGAAGTGGGGCCTTTTGGGAAGAAGGTCACTCTGGGTCTGATGGGACAGGTTATTATGTCTTCCTTTCTGGCTCTTATCTTCAGTGACTGCTTTCAGTGGGACTTGTGGTACTCAGCTTTCCACCTACCAGGCCCTTCCACTCTGCTGTTCTGCCCTGGAACTGGCTGACTATGGACTGGAACCTCTAAAAATTGTGAGCCAAAATCAACTTTTCCTTTATTGGATTGCAGGTGTTAGGTATTGTGTCTCGGCAATGAGAATATGAGTAAGATCCTCTGTGTGCTTCTGTAGTTTCTCCATCTTCCTCCTGCCCATAACTCCTCTTATCTCCCTGATGACTCCCCACTTTCCTGCCTGTGTTAGAAGTGAGCATGCCACTTAGGACTCCCAAGGACTGACCCAGGAGATAGGCAGACTCTCTCAGTCTATTTCTGGACAGCAGACACACTCAGGCCTAAGGAAGAGGCCATACATTAAGTCTGTCAGCTCACAGGGTCCTCTGCTTACTAAACATAAGCAGCTTCATCTGATGACTTGTGGTCACTTCTTGGACCAAGGCCCTCACGTCCCTCAATGCTTCCAACTGCAAACGCTTAGCAAAATTGCAAGGAATCAGTAGCAACCACCCGCTACCAGAAACTTCAGGCTAATAAATAGGGGAAACCAGGCTCTGTGGGTTACCTTCAAACTTTCAGTACTGGAAAATAGCAGAGTAGTGAGCAATAGCAATTCAGCCTATCCAAGATTCTCTTATCTCATCTTGGAGTGAGAGAAAAAAAGAAAACTGAGAGGGAGAGGGGGAGGGGAGGAGAGGTGGGGATATCCCTGGGAATCCAGAAGGAAACGATAGAAAAAGTAAAACCTACAGAGAAGTATGAAACTGACTACCACACAGAGAAGGGAAAAACACAGTCTGGACTTTCTAACACATGCATTACTGTCTTGTGGGAAAGAGATTGAATCTGTACAACCAAAGAGAAACCTGTGGGATTGCAGGAGGTCCCACTTAGAAAAGGCAGTTGTTCAATGGACTGGCAGTTGCTGTGATAGTATGGAATTCCACTCCCACAGAGCCCTTATACAGAAAACATTGGGTGACTGACATCTATGCAGGTGCCTGCCATATCCCTGGAGAGCGCATAGGTTTGGTTCCATTCAGGGAAAGGGTTAAGTATTTAAACCTGGACTCAGAACAGCTACAAGACAGCTTCTCTTCAGTGTTGAGAGAGGTTGAGAGAGAGAGGCAGAGAGAGAGGCAGAGAGAGAGGCAGAGAGAGAGGCAGAGAGAGAGGCAGAGAGAGAGGCAGAGAGAGAGAGGCAGAGAGAGAGAGGCAGAGAGAGACTGACTCAGGTATTTGCCCTAGACAGATGAAAGGCTTAAAAGAGACCTCATGATGGGTTTGAGCTTGACTGGGAAGGAAACAGGCCCTCTCCCTTGGGTCAGAGGTCAGGCCAAGAATGAGTTGCTCTGGATTTGAATGTTTTGGCTTTGTTATTTGAACTCTTGCCCTTTTCCTTGTACCCTTGGACCCAGCATGGATCTGGGGACTGGCTGACTTCTTTAACTACCAATGTGAGCAGGGATACCTCGTGACTTGGACAAAGCTACAGCCTGGGAAAAGCAGAGGGACATCTAGGAAAATCAAGAATTGCTGCCCTCCAAAATTCTGGGTCCAGGAGGAAATTTCATTTAAAATAAGAAAAAAAACTTTTTCCTTAACTTTTTTCTCATATCTTTTTTCTTTTTTCCCATTCTTCTTTTAATCTTTCCTTATTTTGATTCTCCATTATCTCCATATTTTTATTCTCCATTATCTTTGGTTTTTCTTCAGTTTTTCTTGTTAGCTCTACCTAATTTTATAAATTTTAGTCCTTCTACTCCCTGATAGGATCCTTTGTCCCACTTCTCTGTCCTCCTGCTCTTATCATATAATTTGACCTTTCATATTTTTCTTATTGCCTTCTCCCTTTCCAAGAACCGTATATCTTTAATAGAATTATTGAGATATATTAATCTTTATACAGTTAGTTAAGACTATAATATTACTATTTACTTTTACTATTAACTTTTTACCATTAGCAGAGCTATAGCTGTTGCATTTAGTACATATTAGCTATATGTCAATATCAGGTTTTTCTTAATGTTTACACTAAAATTGTAGATTTTAATAAGTGGTGCTGGAAAATCTAGATTTCTACATGCCAAAGACTAAAACTAGACTCATGTCTCTCACCATGCACTGAGCTAAAATCAAAGCGGATCAAAGATCTAAATATAAAAACTGAACCACTAAACCTGCTGAAAGGGAGAATACGTAGAATGCTTGAGGACATAGGGTTAAGCAAAGACTTCACGAATAAAACCCTGACTGCACAGAAAACATTACAAAGAATCAAACACTGGCATCTCATATTATTAAAAAGATTATACACAGCAAAATAAATCACCAATGGAATGAAAAGATAACCCACAGAATGGGGAAAAATTTATCCAATGGTATCTAGAACATATGAAGAATCGAAAAAAAATCAGGCCCTCCAATTTAAAGACTCAATCCAAAAGTGGATATCTGAGATGAATACACACTTCTCAGATAAAGAGGTAGAAACAACAAATACATGAAAAAATGTTCAACATCACTGCACATTGAAGAGATGTAAATTAAAACAAGGCTGAGATTCCATCTTGTTCTAGAAAGAATGGGTATTATCAAGAAATCAATCCACAACAAATGCCAGCAGGGCTCTGGGGGGAAAAGAACCCTGCTCCACTGTTGGTGAGAGTGTAGACTGGTGCAGCCATTCTGGAGATTAGTGTGGAGATTCATCAAAAAATTAGGATTAGAGGTCATCTCTCCTGCTCCTACCTGAAGCAGGAACCCCAGAACCATGTTCTGACTTCAAGGGGTGGCCTGAGGCAATAGGAAGTACTTACCTGAGAATTCCCTATGGCAAAGAGCAGTGTAATCAGCAGAGGCAGATATGGGGTATTTGGTGACCTTTCACTTGGGATGGGGCTTCCTTTCTCCTTCTCAGCTCCTGAACTTAACCCAATCAATTTCAAGTCCTACTTTCTCAGGCCACCTGAAGTGTAGACCTCAGAACAAGGCTCTGATGCCCAGGGTAACCTTTGACGCACCTAACATACCTCACATCTAACAATTTGTGCCTGTGTGGTGCAGGGCCAATGGTAGGGGTAGATCTGGATTAGTTGGGGAAATTGTATGTTAGGAGACTAAGCACATTTCTCATTACTAGGCTCCAACTCTCCTCACCTGGTAGCCTGAGGTCAAACGGATGCTCCTCTGAGAATTTTCACCTAGTGCTGGGCTAACAACAAAGGAAGATCTAGGTTATTATGGAAACCCTCTCTCTCGGGTGATGCTTCTTCACTTTGCCTTCAGCCCCACCTTGACCTACCTAACTCCAGGCCTTTTAGTCCTCCAACCTGAAACTTGGTCCTCAGAAAAAGTCTGATTCTCAGCACCCAGTAAAGAGAAGGAGGGAGTTCTCTTGAGAATCTTGCACTGGGTGGTGCAGAGCAGGCAAAAGAAACTTTTCTAGAACATTCAAAAATCTTACTGTTGTGGGGATTCCTCCGTACCCTCCCACAGTGCCTCACCTGGACCTAACTGCTCTCGGGCTCTCTCTGCTCCTCTCAAATTAAGTTCAGTCCTCAGAACAAGGCTCTAATATCCTCTCAGGTCCCAGGGAGGACAAAGTGAGCCTTTTGCAGAATTCTGTACTTTTTACTGCAGGTCAGGCAACAGAGGCTTTTCTAGACTGTTCTGGGACCCTCTCTCTAGGATGGGGTGTTCTCAGTCCTCCTCAGCCTTCACCTTGACCTAACTGAGCACAGGGCCTCTCCATTCCTCCTTCCTTCCTGAAGCCTGGAGGTTAGAACAAGGCTCTAACTCTGCACCTGGGGCAAAACCTGGGCCCCTACCTTCCAATTCTTCCCCGGTGTACAAAGCTAACAACACAGGTAAACCTGGATTGTTCCATGTCCCTCTCTCTGGGTTGGGGCTTCCTCACTCCCCCACAACCCTCATTTTGACTCCTAAATGAGCTGAGCTGAGCTGAGCTGAGCCCAGCCGAGCCCAGCCCAGCCCAGCCCAGCCCAGCCCAGCCCAGCCCAGCCCTCTTAGTTCCCCTCACCTGAACTGTGCACTTCACAACAGGATCTCCTGTAGTTCGGACCCAAACCAGAAGCAGGGAATGGACGTTATATCCAGGTACGTGCACGGGGTCTCTCACATCTCAAGCAGGAGCAGAAAGGAATTCTTCAGGTCCCTCCCCCATCCTGAAGGATCCACACCTGGTTCTTGGCAGAACCTGTAGCCCAGTCCTTTATGGACCTGATTCTGTTCCCCACTATCCAAGGAGCTATGTTCCTGGGTCCTCTGAGTCTGAGGCTCATTCTAACAAATCGGCCCCTGAGTGGTCCAGGGCTGACGAGAGAGGAAGATCCGAAAGTTTGGGGACACTGTCTCTGGGTTGGGCAATCTCTACTCCCCCGCCACAGCCCATCACCATGAAACCTAACTGAATTCCACCCACTCAACTCCTCTCACCTGAAGCCTGAACCGCATAACAGGCCCTCCTGTTGCTCTAACTCAATCAAGCACAATCAGTGGACCTCACATCCAGCAACATCCCTGGGGTCTGACAGTAGGGATGGAAGAGGAGTCTCCTCCAAAGGCTCCAACCTCTCTAGGGACAGAAACCGGACGTTTATCCTCTGTGAACTGAATATGTTTCTCTCATTCCACAAACCTGACTCCCATTCTACCCTGAGTGGCAATGTGGCCTCAGTCGAGAATCGTTCCTTGTGGTGCAGGAATTTCAAAACAGGAATATCTGCATTGTTTGGTGACCTCCGTCTGGGATGGGGCTTACACAATGCCTCTTCAGCTCTCACCTCGACCCCTCAAAAAGCTGGGGACCTGTCTGAACAAGTGCCATTTCTGCAGGCTGTGGTCAGACATCTGATGTGGTTAGTATTCCCAGACCACTGGTGGAACTGGTCTCCAAAAAATTTTGTCTTGAAATGTCTGAGGGTGGCTTGAGCTTTGAGTACAGTTTTACTTCCTGCAATGGAATTCTTGTCCGTTTATTTACACCTGTTTGGACATTTATAGATTCTGTCACTTGAAGTCTATCAGTGTCCATTAGGATTTCACCTGCAATGGGACAATCTAAATCATGGAAACTTTTTATTACAGAAAATCTGAAACATAGCAGAAAAGAAATTATTGTGAACTCTTTATATCTGAAGCCTAGCATCAGCAATGTAAAAGACATGCCAAATCTCATTCCATGTTTTCCTTCATCTATGTACATCACAGCCACTAGAAGAATGTAGAAGAAATTAAAAGAATTCCATTATTTCATCTTTCAATATTTCAATATACATTTGGAAATAATAAGCACAATTCAAAATAAATGCAATAGTTATCATTTCTGAAATGGATAAGTGATCATCACATATTCAACTCTATTAAATACTTTTCTGATTGACTCATGCTTTCGAAGTAGCATCTCTGAATGCATATTCAACTATGGAACATAACTGTAATTCTTGTTATGTCACTTAGTTCATTTTTAATCTCAGCATTTCCTCCTCTTTCTCTCTTTTCCCTTGCAGTTGGTCTAGTTGTTGAAAGCAGAGGGCCTCTATTTTCTGTTTGCCATATTCTGGATTTTGCTGAATGCCACACTATGGTCTGTTTTAATATATTCTTCATAGCCTAGTTTCTGGGGCCTCATGATTTCACAGTTTCATCTTGTATTATGACCTTCCCCAATCCTAAATTCAGCTCCCTCCATCAGTGAGAGTCCTCCTGGATACTGCCCACCACACAACCTCTATTTAATTAATGGTTCAGCTCCAGTATACTGGAGTTGGAGATACATATTTGTTGAACCTACCCTTGTACCCCACAGGGAACATCTGTATTAGCTGGTATACAGTATTTACTTGAAGCTCCCTTGACCTTTAGTCTCACTGTATTCTCATTTCCAATGGTGATTTCTTCTTACCTGCTTCACTGACATTGTGAATTCAATTGTAATACACTTAGGATTTTTCTCACTGGTTACATTCTACATTCTATGCTAATATTATTATTATTTAAATTTGCATACATTAAGTTTCTCTGTGCTGTAAACTTTTAGAAGTTTTGACAAATGCATTGTGCTTTCGTTTGAATCAGGTAGGACTGCTTCAGTAGGTTTCTTCTTGCCAGACACAATATCTGACATCTGCAACATAAATGTATATAGGATTTATCGACTCATGTGTTCAGTCTATAAAAGGCAGACTCAAAGATAGGAACACTGTGGGGGAAGGACTTGAGGAACAAAACTGCTCAATTTCTAGTGGCAGGAGGCAGAGCTGGAGAAGAGCCAAAGAGAGGTAAGCCAGTTTTCGGCATCCATGACTAATACTGTCACACCCAGGAGCATGTTGTACTAACCTAGTAGGTTTTCCTTAGTATAATGCAGTGGACATTCCAGAATTAACATTCAAAATTCATCTGTGGTCTTCACACCCAAAAACATCTGTTTTAACCATAATCTCCAAAGGAAGACAATACCAAGTTCACTGTTCCACATAACATAATGCAACTATCCTGTATATGACTGAAAATGGAATAATTTTTCCCCAAATTCTCAATAAGCCCAGCATTTTTCAAAAGTCTCAGTCCAAGTCTCTTCTGAGACCTCCAGACAAACTCTGTGCTTTGAGCATTGACTTGAGTTTGTATCCAACATCACCTACATATGTGAAGACTACCACAATGGAAAGAGTTAATCAGAAGCATTTTTTTCAGCTTTAATTGAGTTTATTGGTATATTTTAGGGATACAGTACAGTTACATTCATTGTTGGGATCTTGTACCTCTACATGACAAGTCTTGGTTCTCATTTTTTCCCCTTACCCCTGCCCTCCCTTCACCCCCTCGTCCCCTCCCCATCT